GAGTGGTGTACTTTGGTATTTCCCTTGCAGAGAAGCTCTTCCCTTTTTTCCTTCTCTCTCCTACTCTTCCCCTCCCCTCCCTTCTCTCTGCACCCAGACTGCTGTCATTCAGGAAATTACCTATCATTTCCTCTCCTGGTGAGATTTCATTGTGACTTAGTGGCACCTTTACCCCAGGACACCTTCAGCACCATGAGTTCAGGAGAAGGTCTGGAGGGCTCAGCCAACAGTGGTCACCTCTCCTCTAGGACAGCTTCAGATATGGGCTGCTCTGGCCCAGCAAGCACATGAAGGAAAGCACAGTTTTTTTCCTAAACTGAATTCTGTTTTAGAAACATAGACTCTGAGAGAAGCCAAGGAACAAAACTGTTTAAATACCCATTTGTGACTAAATAGTTTTTCAATTTCACTGAGTTAGGAGGTCAGCCTTCCTCAGCTGCCAAAGTGTGAGGGGGACACAGAGTTAGAGGCCTCAGGCCCTGACAGAGGCTGTTCCTGGCCAGGAGGGCTGGGCCTCTCCTCAGCAGAACAAATATTTGTTAGCACTTTACACAAGAATACTCTTGAGCTCATTGTATTTACATTGCAAATGACCTGTAAATAGCAAAGCAGTTATGTGTACCTGAAATTTGTTATTTGTTTGAAGACACTATATAGATAGAAGATGAGAGAAGTGAGTTTTGGAAGCGGGAGGAGTGCCATGAAAAAGCGAACACCAAACCCCCAGCAGAACCTCTCTTTGCCAGGGTAGATACTTAAAAGGACACCCCAAAATGAATCCCAAGCGAATGCTCCGTCCAGTGTCTCCCTTGGCAGGTTAAGTGGACCTAGACCTATAAACCCAGCTGTCAGTACAAGCTGTCTCTGAGAGGAGTAAACAGACAGCCCTGCCCTGGCTCCCATACAGGGGTCTCTGGAACATCCTGGGGGGTTCTCTTCCTGTAGGACCTCCCAGTGCTCAGGCCCTGTGGCCTCTGACTCATTAGCAACTTCTGGAAGGGAAGAGAACGCAATCCCATCTGCTAGAAACAATGTCTTCCCCACTTTCAAGAGCTAGAAATGTCAACACAGGCCAACATGCTTGGATGGATTAGGATCGTGTGTAGAGGGCACTTTCCTATATGTTTTTGGATCATGCATTTCCATTTTAAAATGAAAAAAAAAAAAGAAAGGAAAACATTTTAAATAAAGAAGACTTGTCTTGAAAAAAGAGGAAATCTTTATCTCTATAGAAGGATAACAACACTCTTCACGTTGTAAGGGAAGGTACTGCAGTCTTGTTGTCTCTGCAGCTTTCAAATTGTATTTACATATATTATACATAAGGCTTATCCCTGCACGGTGTGAAGCTTCTGGAAATATCTCTATCACTTCCAAACCAGTCTCCCAACTGAAGCATGAAACCTCATCATTAATAGATTTTTCTAAATGCTAACATTTTTACTTGTTTGAAAAGTTCTCTAGAGATATAGTTAACAAACATAAAATCCATCCATTTAAAGTATATAATTCAGTGCTTTGTGTGATATTCACAGGGTTATGCAACCATCATCACAATCTAATTTTAGATCATTTTTGTTCTCCTAAAGGGAAAAGCCCGTATCTGTTAGCAGTCCCTCCCCATTCCTTTCCACCCACTCCATCCCCGGTGGTAGGCAACCACTAACCTCCTTTCCATCTCTATAAATTTGCCTTTGCTGGGCATTTCATATAAATGGGATGATACAGTATGTGGCCTTTTGTGACTTCTTTTTTCACTTGTTATATCTTTAAGTTTCATCCATTTTGTAGCATGTATCAGGACCTCATTTCTTTTTATTCCTGAATAATATTCCATCATGTAGTTATACCACATTTTACTTTTTGATGCATCTGTAAATGGACATTTGGGTTATTTCTACTTTTTAGCTCTTATGAGTAATGCTGCTTTAAATATTTATGTACAGGGTTTTTTTGTTTCTGAGTGGACCTGTATTTTTATTTCTCTTGGGTAGATACTTAAAAAATAGAATTTCTAGGTCATATGGGAATTTTGTGCCTAACATTTTGAGGAACTGCCAGACTGTTTTCCAAAGAGCTACACCGTTTTACATTGGCACTAGCAAAGGGGTTTCAGTTTCTCCACATTCTCACCCATACTTGTGATTGTGTGTTTACTGTTTCTTTATATTAAACATTATTCTTCCTTTACTACTATTTTGCAATTCAAATCCCCATCTTATCCCCTCTCCTTCCCTTCCTCTGTCAAGTTCCTAATATGATAGCATGAATTTATCAAATGGCTTTCTTGTGAGAGTGGGTTGTTCTTAATTTCAGTGCATCTCTGTGTCAGGGTGGGCTGGGGAGAAAGGGTGGGAAGGGATTAGGCACCAAAAGAAACATGGGGCCCATGGGGCTTTGCCCACTTCACAGATTGTTTAGCCCAAGGCCTGGGTTGGAGACAGGGTCTTGGAATTCGATCAGTAAGCGTATCTCTGGTTCTTTGAAGAAATGGTTGGAATTGTATTAGTTGTCTCTAAGGCTAAGTACATTTTCAAGGACTTCTGGAACTCAGAATGATCCAGCTTGGTAGAACTCTGCCTAAGATCTCTAGTCAATCACTGCCCACTGTGATACAGAGGTCTGAGGACTCTTTGTTTACTGGTCTATGTTAGAAATTGAGAACGAGACTTGAGAAATATTTTTAATAATATGACACTGTGACATCCAAGCAGGATGAACTCATGATTGGTGAACTCATCTCGTTAAATAGGGTTCAACTTGTTCACATGTTCTTCGCTCGTTGTCAGACTCTCCTGGTGAGTTGCGTGTGGCCTGAGCTGAGTTCTAGACATATACAGTAGAACCGGGACAGACGGGAATTAAAAATAAAATTAGTCCTTGGCCATGGTGTGAGAGCCGCTGTGGCAAACTAATGCTTTTCAGCGTTTTCCTTCCTTCACCTGCGCTAGACTTTGATGCAGGAGTGGAGGGGCCCTGGGTATAGGAGAATAATGGTAATAGTGGGCGTTACCCGAGCACTCATGGGATGCTCAGCTCTGTGCTTTCCTCACAGCAACTAATTTAAGTGATATGATTACTATTTCCATTCCAGGAAACTGGGGGAATGGAAGTACTGGCTGCGGGTGGGTTTCCATTTTGATTGTGAGTCAGTCCTGCCCCAGCTTAAGCCCTTCTAGTCAGGAGGGTCCTGATTTGGATCCTGGTTCCCTCTCCTCACCTTGGCTCTGCCTGCCTTGGCCTCTGGCTCTACCGGCCCCCTTTGCTGGCTGATTGACAGGATCCCAGAGAAGTGGGGAAGTCCTGGGGGGCAAAGGGTGGGGATGCAAATAGGAAGAATCAAGGCAGGAAAAGAAGCAGGAAAGAGCCCAGAGAAGCGAAGGTGAGCTTGGCCAGAGGTCTTTCTTTAAGGGAAGAATTGTGGCAACTCTTATGGAAAGTGGAAATTGGGGGGAAGAAATATAAAGAACTACGTGGGAGGTAATCACCCGTTTTGTTTCTCCACAACCTGAGGGACAATCCGTGGAACTTTGTATGCTTTTGGAGTGAGGTAAGTTTTGCAAACATGGTCCTGGGTGAGAGCAGGGCAGGCTACTTGGCATATTTTGACTTAGATTTAGATGACCCAGCGCCCTTAAAACTCGTGTAGCGTGGGACATGCTGCATATACCAGAGAGAGGCGAGCCTCGGAGTTCTGTCTGGTATTTCAGGAGGGCTGGAGTTAGGGGTGGGAAGGGGAGAGAGTCTCCCTGCTTATTCTCTGCCCACAGAGTAACCACACGGGTGTGGAACACTTTCTTCCCTCCCTGCTCCACCTGTATGTCTGCAAAATGTTACCCTGCAGAAGTCTGTTTTTTTTTTTTTTTTTTAAGCCAGGATCATCTTTGCTCCATGCAAATTTTCTGAGGTGGACTTGTGCTAAACTCCTTTGCATTGTTTTCCATCAAAGTAATTATTTTAATGATTTGTAAAGTGGTCTTATTTAGGGATCGGAGGTTAATGACCCTTAGGAAGAGTGGCTGACCTTGACCCAACTTCTGTAGGCTTTACCCTTAAGTTCATTTCCGTTCAGTGAACATCGTGGGGCTCCTCCTACAGCTCTGTGCAGGTGTGTTGGTCATTTAAAATCACATACCAAATCGATGCTTTCAGGGAAAACTGTTCTTATACATCCGTCCTTTCACATTTGCCTGCCAGATAGCAGTACTGGCTGTTCTTCACTGGTTTTTCAGGTCGGTTGCTAGAGACAAGATGTGCTATGTAGAATGTTTAGGAGACTTTCCTGAGAGATTCTTTGAGATGCATAGTTGCCGGCTGGAGAAGACATCAGTCTTTTGTAAGTCTGAGATTTTTCAAATTAAAATGAAATATTTTGCTTCTGGGGATTCTCCTCCATGGGATTGTAAAGTGCCCCTGTGTCTGTGTGTAATTTATTCAACTAGAGTTTGTCTTGGGAGCATCGCAGTGGCTGGGAATTAAGAAACTTCTGTTTCAATTCCAACCTCACCAGTGACTTCTGTGTGACCTTAGGGAAATTAGTTAACCTTCTTGGATTTTGTGTGCTTCAGAATGAGGATCAGACCATTGCCTCATAGTCTGGGCTCAAGACTCAATAAGGAGCTGAAGCCCAGTGCGATCCCCAGATGAAGGCTGCTAAAACCAGGCTTGTTCTCCGGTGTGGAAGGCCCTCCCCCAGTTCAGAAATGCAGTCGCTAAGCTGTCAGCCTGCAGTCCTGCGGGAGGGCTTATTGTATATGAACAATACTTTAGAGTTGAGGAGTGGGTCATGATTTTTAAAGGATGTTATGTATTGAATCTTCTTATTTGATTTTCTCCATCCTGGGGAAGGCAAGATTTTTTTGTCATCTCAATTCTATACATTTAGTTTAGGTTAGGGAACTTGAAAGAGGAGTTAGAAATTAAAGGACTCAGTAGTAAATAAGGCAAGGTACACTCTATTTACATTTTCAGTATAAATTACCCTTTGGTAGTATCTAGACTTAGAGTGGCTAAGTTTAAATCTTGGCTCTGTCACTCAGTGAGGAACCTTAGGCAAGTTACTTAAGCTTTTCTAAGCCTCATTCTTCTCATTTGTAAAATGAGGATAATAAAAGTACTTATAATGTTGTTCTGAGGATTAAATGAAATTATATATATACTTAGAATATTGCCTACTATATAGTAAACTCCCAATTATTGCCATTTTATTACATTTTATTTTCTTATATATCAAGTTATGCCAATATACCATCAGTTATTCTTCTTTTAAGTATATATTTTAAATATATATAATGCATATCAGTTTATTTATATATCAGAAAAGTACAGAAAGAAAATATAAAAATGATTTGTGTTGTTTCCACTCAGACGATCCCTGTTGACATTAAAAAAAAAAACTAACACACTTGAAGTGTTGAAAACATCATTAGTAGGTATGTTTCATTAGTAGGTTTGGTATCATTAGAAGAGAAGTGTATAAAATGGAAGATGGGACCCTTCTCCTTTTTTGCAAGATAATTCCTATTATCATTTGAGTATTTCCAGAAAAATGTGCACATTTCCACATATATGCATCAGCCTTTTTCCTTTTCACACATAAGATGTCATATGAAGCACACCGTTCTGCCCTTGTTTTTCTCTACTTCGGTATCTGGGAGCTTTTCCCCCAGTGAGCTATTCAGTTCTCTTACCTGCCCTCCTAGTATTCCATCATAAAGATATATCACAGTTTAGTTATCCTGTCGTCTATTGGAGGACACTGGGTTGTTTTCAGTTGTAGCTGGTTTGCAGTTTAATTACACTTCAGTGACTGTCCCTGTATGCATGTCTTGGGGAAGTTTTGCAAGTATATCAGTAAGGTAAATTCCTAGCACAGGGCTTGCTGAGTCAGGGGTCTTAGCTTTGACAGTTACTTGATAGATCCTTCTCTACCAATTTATACCAGTTTAACACTTCCACTAAAGGCCACTTCCTATGCCCAGTTGCAGGTACTGGGTATCCTCCAACTATAAGCATTTTCAAGATTAAAAAATGGCATTGTGTGATTTTTTATTTTTCATAAATGAAGAATGTCTCTTTCTTGTTCTGATTTTATTGTGAGTGAGGCCAAACAGTTTGTCCTATATTTATTGAGCGTTTGCCTTTTTTTCTTTACTGTAAACTGTATGTTTGTATACTTTGCCCATTTTTCTATTAGATTATTTATCTTTTTCTTATTTACTTATGTTACTTTAAATAAATCAATATGTGGTTTTAAGGGATATATTAAATCATATGTAATTTTAATTACATCTTGGAATAAAAACTTTGCTTAGGAGATATAGTAGATAAAAATTGTGTTTGCTAGCTCAGTATCTGTTTCCCCTTCTGAAAACAGCCCCCAGATTTTTCTTTCAGGTAACAGCGTGTTTTCACTCCACTCATTTTGGGCTTCTCTGGATCTGAACACATGATCTAGACTTGCTCACCAAATCCCTCCAACCCCCCTGGCCACAGTGCAGAGACAGAGACCCACATCTGGCCAGTGGGAGCCTTTCCATGACTTTGCCATATTTATTTGAAAAGAAGTGCTCTTTCTCTCATTCCACTGCAGTTGCTGAGAAGGATAGAAAGGATGCTGTAGGAAAAACAGAACAGTGGAACCTTAAGTCAGGAAGCAGAAGAAGGCAAGCATATAATCAATAATTGTCTCCTCTAATACCTTATAGGTAACGTTGGCTTGATTTTGGAAGTTTGATATGAAAGAAAGACCTGAAGATATGCAAAGGCAAGTGGAAAAAATGCTATTAAGATGATTGAAATTGAGAATAATCCTGGGAGATCTGTGAGTGCCAGGCAACAGTTTATTCAAGAAGGGGAAATATGTACTTGTTCTGAGTAACTGCACTATGTAGCAATTCCACTCTTGGGCATATATCTGGAGAAAACTCTAACTGGAAAAGACACATGCAACCCAGTGTTCCTAGCAGTACTATTTACAATAGCCAAGACATGGAAACAACCTAAATGTCCATCCACAGATGAGTGGATAAAGGAGATGTGGTGTATAATGTATACAATGGAATATATAGTCAGCCATAAAAAAGAATGAAATATTGCCATCTGCAGCAACATGGATGGACCTAGAGAAAATTAAATTAAGTGAAGTAAGTCAGACAGAGAAAGGCAAATGTATTATATCATTTACATGTAGAATCTGAAAAAAAAAAGATACAAATGAACTTATTTACAAACTGGAAATAGACTCAACAGACATAGGAAACAAACTATGGTTACCAAAGGGGAAAAGTATGGGGGAGGAGGGATAAATTGAGAGTTTGGGGTTAACATATACACACTACTATACATAACATAGATAAACAACAAGGACCTACCACATAGTGCAAGGAACTAGGTTCAACGTCTTATAATAACCTATAATGGAAAAGAATCTGAAAAAGAATATATATGTATATGTATAACTGAATCACTTTGTTGTACACCTGAAACTAACACAACGTTGTAAATCAACTATATTTCCATAAAAATAAATTTAAAAAAATAATCCTGGCAGAGCTGTGAATGCCAGGCAAGTTTATTCAAGAAGGGGAAATGGGTACTTCTTTTGAGTAACTGCACCATTATCTCTATGTTGTGAAATGGCTAAATCTTAACAGAAGGCTGGTTTAATAAATATTAACCTACAGTCTAAGGGACAAACTTCCTGTACATGTGATTCAACGTGCAGGAGTCTTTTTTTTTTTTTTTTGGTAGAGTCACACACATTGATAACTACAGAAGTGTTTGAAATGAAGCATGTCTCTTATTTTCATTCTCTCATTTTTTTTTCTCCCTCCTTTTCTGTATTAATTGGGAATCTGGGATTTCTATTTCACCATATGTCAGAGGGTGAGGTGCTACCACATTACACATATTTTAATAGCCAGAGTCCAAGATTAAAAACATGTAAAGCCAGGACTTAAGAGCACAATTTCATAACGCTGCTTGCTTTTGGCTTTGAGCACCAGTTTATGATCATATTCCTTTTGGCAAGCCAGAAGTTTAACTTTCAATAAGAAGAGGTAAGTGGTGAAAATGTGTAAGATAAACTCATAAAATTAAGCTTCTAAAACAAGAATTAGCTAAGTGAAAAGGCATCAAATCAGCTCAGAATAAGTCAAGCTAGTAATTTATATCCACTTAAAAATGTTTTTATTTTTTTTTTCAGTGTGATAGTAGCCAGAGTGACAGATCAGCAAAATTCAAACCATATAATAAAACCAGCCACGCTGATTAAAGAGAAAAGTTTACCCAATGTAGATCAAAATGATCTTCTCTCTTCAGGATAAACTCAGACCAGGACCATATGGGCTAAATTCTGACCAATGAGCCATGGACTGAATTAAAAGGGGAGAGCTGCATTGCCTTTTCTCCCTTTGGGATTTGACTGTGAGATGAGGCTGAGGACCAAGACGGTCTTATTGTCTTTTGTAAGTTCATCTATTTTGATGGAAGCCATTGTCCCAAATATGCCTTTCTCCTTTTGCATATTTTTTATTGCTATGTATAAAAATGACTGTAGAGTCTGGCATTATTAGGAGTGAAGCATTTTAAATATGTGAATTTTCTAAGCTACTATAGATCCAAACTTTAACATTTTAATTGTTTTATTTTACTTTATTAGGGAGGAGGTTTAGAGGAGGTACTGGGGATTGAACCCAGGACCTTGTGCATGCTAACCATGCGCTCTACCACTGAGCTGTACCCTCCCCCCACATTTTAATTATTTTGAAGAGAACGTTTTCTAAGGGATATTTTCACTTTCCTGGTATCATTACTAGGACTTATTATTGTTCTTTGTGTCAATATAATTCTGTGTCCACGTAACAGCCCTCAGGTCAGACTGTCAACGTTTGCTGGCCAGCCATTGTTGGTGCATCCAAGAGCCACCCTTACTTTTTCTAGTTTAAATCCTCAAATATGAAGTGGTGAATATACCTGTAAATCAGTTAGGGGACATATTTTTACAGCAAATTTTGGGCCACAATGTGTTAGTATACCACGGAGAGGGTTCCTATGCGGAGCATGTAGTTGAATTAGACGACCTAAAAGGGCTTCAGTGACTGGTCCTTCAGGACTTGGTAAGTAGAATTCTTTCCCCTTTCCTAGACTAGTTTCCTTCCTCTTTGTTGCCTGGCTACTTCTTGTTCATTCCTTTGCTCTTAGCTACTTCCTGTGAGGGACCCTCCGTGACTGCTCGGCTAGGTCTCCTTGTGCACTCGTAACACGTGGACTGCATGCATCGTCACTTAGTGTGTCACATTTTACTGTCATTTCTTGTGTGATGTCTGTGTTTCTTGGTAGAGGCCAAACAGGCTGGCATTGTGCACACTAAGGTTTCCCTAGAAGAAGCACACAGTGCTCTGAACATAGTAGGTGTTTTACAAATATTTGTTTAATGAATGGTTGAACGCTTTGTCCTTAAGTTGAAGTGACTGTAATCCCTGCCTCACTGGGCCACATGGCTAGAGTGAAGGCCCTCCAGGGCCCAAGAACAGTCACATTGGCAACGAAATGCTGTGATACCTTTGTCTTCAGAGAAAGAGTAGCTTATGCTACAAACTTTGGTGCGTAAGAAATGTCACTTTAAATTTTATATGGATGAAATTACTTCTATTTTCTAAGTTTTCTTCCTGCTCTGCTAGTGGTAGGGCATTTAAAACTCCATCATTATGGAGGCTCGTTTCCTTTTCATGGTTGTACCAAGAATCTGGAGGGCTTATATGGTTGGTACCTGGAGAAGCGGAGGACCTCTAATCTTCAGTCCACCATTGTTGCCACTGCTATTGTAATCATTCAGACCCATACACACTGCTTCAAAGGTAGGCTTCTTGGCTGTCAGCAGGTCAAGCGGGACCCAGGGAAATTTCTCTGCCCTCATAGTCATCACCTCTGAAATCCTGTCCCCATCCTGTGGGGTCTGATCATCTCTGCTCTCTTCCTTGTCCTGTGAAATCTCTCTCTTAATTCTGTTGAAAACATTTGCTTGCTCCCTTCTTTCCTAGCCCAGTCATCTCAAATAGTTCTTGTAAAGAATGATTCTGTAAAACAAAAGCCAGGAAAGGTGGTGAGCTCTAAGCAGTTTCTGCTCTATTCTGCAATAAAAACTCCTCAAAAGAGAGGGTGCCCAGAGGCCTAGCTATTTGCTTAAAATGAGGAAAGGGAAAGAACAAAATATAAATGAATAACAACAAAATTATCCTGTATTATTATGGACTGAATTGTGTCCCAGCAAAATACATATGTTGAAGTCCTAACCGCTGCCCCATGTAACCGTATTTGGAGATAGGGTCTTTAGGAGGTAATTAAGGTCATAATGATGGGACCCTAATCCAACATGATTAATGTCTTTAGAAGAGGAAGGGATATCTGAGCTCTTGCTCTCTCTCCTCTATGTAAGGATACAGCAAGAAGGCAGCTGTCTGCAAACCAGGAAGAAGGCTCTTACCGGGAACAGAATCTGCTGATACCTTGATCTTGGATTTCCAGCCTCCAAAACGGTGAGAAAGTAAGTTTCTGTTGTTTAAGCCATCCAGTCTGTGGTGTTTTGTTACTGCAGCTCAAGATGGTGAAGATAAGTACTTCATGTTGACTGCATGTTCCCACCCAACAGAGCTACTGGGATGCCCAGCAGAACCATTCCATCCATTAGGCACCTAAGACACACTGCGGAACTTAAACCATGTATTTAAGAGCCTATGCAACCATTGAGAACTGAAAAAATACAGTAATTGGTTCAAAATAAGAAAACCACAAAACTGAAATTAGTAACATGTTTAATGAAAGGTCTATAAAATGTAACATCATGCCCTTCATTAATTGCTAAATTTAGAATCCATAACAACGTTATTACATGTGAAAATAATTTATAGGTTCGATTCTTCTCATATCACCAAGTATTCACCATGATTTCTGAGAAAGTATATGTAATAGTAAATTGAGTTATGTATAGAAAATTTTTCAAAAACAAAATTATTTGCTTTTTCAAAGCAAAATGATACTTAATATGGGGATGTGAGAACATTTTAATAGGTTTGATATGGTATGAGATGAAATCCCTGAATTTCTAAAATTTGCCTGTGCCTCCAGCTCTCTCACTTCCCTTGGCAGTGTCCTGGGACCTCTCTGTTTGAGAATGTGATGTAATTCTGACACCGACTGCCTGGAATTAGCACAGACTTCTCAGGTTAAGGATGCCCTCAAACAACACTGCCATCACTTCAGACACCAGCCACCAGCTTTGGGGCTTTCCAGACCACCTGTACTTCTGACCAGCTGGCTACAAATATGGGGGTTCCCACTCCCCATCTCAAGTTTGGTAATTTGCTAGAATGACTCATAGAATTCAGGAAAGTACTATAGTTATGATTACAATGTTATCACCAAGGATACAAAACAAGCCAAATGAAGAGATCCATAGGGTGAGATCTGGGATGGTCCTAAACATGAAGCTTCTGTGTCTTTAGTATGCATTACCCTCCTGGCACACCAGTGTATATCACCAACCAGGAAACTCACCTGAACTTCAGGTGTCCAGAGTTTCCGCTGGAGTTTCATTATGTTTACATGTGGTTTTTCTGGCATGGCCAGATCCCAAAACTCAGTAATGGTCCAATAGTAGAAGTGCTTATTGACCAATCTCCATTTAATTATCTGGATTACTGGAAGCTTGCCATTATCTCTACAAATAAGTAACACTCACTGATGCTTCTGATACACTGAAAGCTAACTGTAGGTAACATGCTTTTTCCTGGTACTCCTGGGTACATCTACTCCCATTGGGTGATTTACATGTTTTCCTGGAGTTGGCTGAGTTTATCTGAAATTTCTGCATGCCAGTCATATTGGTATTGCCATTAAGTTATTTAATTGAATATTATGTTAACGTTTTAAATGGGAGTGCTAAAACCAAGTTGAATACTTTAAAAAAGCTTGATAAAGGTGTTTGCTAAAAGAAATTGCTGTTAAATTAGGTGTAAGACAACTGTAAAAGACTCAAAATAAATGACAAAATTCTAAAGTTTTTCTGCCCTCAGATTGCTTTGAAAAGGTCCTTAATTTTCTAATTTAAAGAAATTGAAATGGAAAATCATAGACAATGTATTCATGCATTGTAGATGTGGTTATATAAGAAAGAAGATTTGGAATTCTAATCAAGGCCCATTCTCACAGAGAAACCATTAGTCCAACAATGACAAAAAATACAAATTTGTGTAGATTTATGTATTTTTAAGAAAATAATATAAAATTATGTTTTATGAATGTGGTAATTTTTTATGATTGTATGCTTTAGTTAGCTTTTTCTATTTACTAACCAACTACTATGAAATGAGACATGTTGTCTAAATAATCTTGGTGATCTGTCAGTTTAACATTCTGGGATTTTAAATACTGCTTAAGCGGAAATGACTTTTACAGTGCTCAGATTGAATAGCCTTTGTGGGGATCTGCTTAAGCAGGTGAGACCTAAGTGACGTCACCATAGTGAGCTTTTGATGGCATCTAATTTCCTATTATCATAAAAAAGACTGAAATGGACAATCCTTGTACATTGTATTTGAACAATGATTCTGACATTTTTGAGAAGTTATCTATTTTGAAGGTGTGAATATAACCTCTAAGGATGAGCCACAGAGAAATCATTGTCTCTTTTCCTTTCTCTCCTCTGCCTCTTCCCCCGCTTTTTCTTTCTAAATTACTTTCCTGTAGAGAATTGAAGACAAAGATACAAGGACAAATCTGGTAAGAATTTTATTTTTTAGGTTATCATTTTATACCTTTGCTGAGTACACTGTGACATCATGCACAAATATTATTTTAAGAAAGCTAATAAAAATGATTCAAAATAATCTATAATTCTTCTTCCCAAGTAGACATTTTATTAAGCTGAAGCTAATTTTATAGTCATATTAATATTGAAGCCTAGTAAATAGAGTAGAAATCAAAAGATTAGAGGGAAACTAATTAATATGGGAGAAATTCCATTTGTCAAGTAACAGACAAAATTCATTACAGACCAAGTAATAATACAAGTCACAATAGAATTCTTATGTTTTGCAAAGGTTATGGAAAAGTGAACTTATGTTAAATAATTAATATAGGGAGGCTATATGGAAAAAATAGTGATTTTTGGGGTTAATAAAATTAGAATGAAATGCTTGTTCTGCCATTTACTCCCATCTAAGCTTGAAGAACTCAACCTTTCTTGGTCTTGGTTTTCTCATCCATAAAAAAGGAACAAAAACACCAACCTTGCAGGGCACTAAACGGTGAATTATAAATCTTGTTTCTCCACTGTATATTGTGGAATTGGAGACATGCTCTACTGAAAACTTTTCCACTCTATTAAAGTGTTCAAAATCTCATATATGTTAGGGGAAAAAATACATATGTTTTTCCTGTCCAGAGCAAGGGGCATCCTTAAAGACTGTATGAACCTGGCCAGCAGTGAATCAACTTGTCTCTTGTAAGAATTCAAACTGGGAGCCATAGGTTTGTAGACAGTAGGCTTTTGAATGAAAGGGGACAAAGAGGTTAGCCACCTTGTTGGGTCAAGTGGAAGCTAATTATCATGCAGAGAAAGATGAACTATAGATAAAGGAGTTATGTAAGATACTGAGATGACTCCATTCTGAATATTGTTTTAAACACTTCCTTACATTAGCCCTGCTTACAGATAATGAAATCAAGGAAACTGAGTTAATAAGAGGTAGACCTAACTTCAGGCAGTCTCAGTTGGAGTCCAAACTCTAAACCATTCTATTCCATCATCACCAATAGCATGTAGATGAGGCACGGGAAGAGGAGCCTTGATTCTAGTCCAGTGCCTGTGAGACCCTGCTGGGCACAGAGCTCCTCTTACAGATTTCTTTGGTGCTTGTTGTCCAAGAGCACAAGTTTATGATAAGAAAGTGATTTATGATAAGAAAGTGATCCTTATTTTTCCTTAAGATTTTTTTCCCCCTTGATGGTCACCAGTTTTGGAATTTGGGGAAAATAAGGAAGAGTGCAGACTACCCAGAAGAGCAGTAGAGCTGCCTAAGAGCAATTCTGTTGGGTCTCACACAGGGAACAATTCCAGGTAGGTTGGGGGAACCCACCCAGAAGTGCGTAGGGCCCAGTAAGGCAGCCTGTGGGGAGTGTTGCTTAACTGGCCTGTCCTTGGCACCAGAATCTTGCCTGCAAGCAAGAGTCTGAAATCATTGGATCTGGATATTTTAATAAAATGACATCTAGAGGGGTTTTACATTTTGCTTTTATTAAGACAACAAAGGATAAGAAGAAAATAAATTTATGCTATGAAATGGAGAATTATATGCTATTTAAAGACAATATACAGCAATGTATTGCAAACTGTGTTCTGAAGAAAACTTATTTAGGGAGATACTTATTGAAACCAGGCTTCTTGGTTTAAGTAAATTGAGGAAACACTGGGTTAAAGTTAAGCATTTCTCTTTAGTCAGGCCTTTGCTATGTTACTGTGAATCCTGAAGCTCCAAGGCGACCACAGTATACTTTCCTTTTCTCCACACCCTCTCCAGCATTTATCGTTTATGGACTTTTGAATGCTGGCCTGGTGTGAGGTGATATCTCATTGTAGTTTTGATTTGCATTTCTTTGATAATTAGTGATATTGAGCATTTTTTTTATGTGCCTATAGGTCATTCGTATTTCTTTATTGAAAAATTGCTTCTTTAGGTCTTCTGCCCATTTTTGGATTGGGTTCTTTGCTTTTTTCTTGTTAAGTTGTGTGAGCTGTTTATATATTCCAGGGATTAAACCTTTGTCAGTCTCATCGTTTGGAAATATTTTGTCCCATTCTATAGGTTGTCTTTTTGTTTTGCTTATGGTTTTCTTTGCTATGGAAAAACATCTAAGTTTAATTAGGTCCCATTTGTTTATTTTTGCTTTTATTTTTATTGCTTGGGTAGACTGCCCTAGGAGAACATGGCTGAGATTTATGTTGGATAACGTTTTGCTTATGTTTCCTTCTAAGAGGTTTCTAGCGTCTTGTCTTATGTTTAAGCCCTGTAAGAACATACTGGAGAGATACCAAGGGACCTGCTTAAGGAGTGTGGGTTTCTTCCTGTGGGCAAAAGAGTTCCTTTAAGATGTTTGACCAAGTGATATATTATTCAAGGCTGGGCTTTAGGAAGATTAAGATGAGGATGGTATATTTGGCTGGATTGCTACAGAAGAGTGAGTGAAAGAGTTAGAACAGGCATTTTGGGGGTCATAATTGCCATTTCAAAAATAAATATAGGGCAAATCCATTAATAACTACTGCAATGGTTATAGTAAAAATGATCAGGGTGTTTTGCCTTAGTATCAATTTCTTAATATCTAGGAGTGGGCATGGGCAGGGGGTGTGGTAGGATGATGTGGGCTATCATGAAAATGGGGACAGTCTCCCTTTATAGAGTCTTAGGTCTGCTCTGCTTCCTCTGTCTTAGCCATTTGCCATTTCTCCATCTACTTTTGGTCTTTATATTGTGGTACAGATTTCTCTTATTTGCTATGTTACTTGGCTGTGATTTTTAAAAGGAGAAAGGATGGAAATACCTTTTGGCCACCATCTTGAACAACACAATCCCTGGGATAGGCAGCTGGAACATTACCTCAGTAAGTAGTTATAACCACTCTCTGAAGCAAGGATTACCCCTTACTATAGATGAGAAAATTGAGTAGGAATATACAGCTGATCAGAGGTGGAAGGAAAATCCAAACCCAAGTCTATTTGACTCTAGGCTTGCTGCTTTAGGGTCATGGGACTGTATGTACATTTCTATTATATCTGTTCGAAACTCTTCAGTGGCTTACCACTTCTCTCCAAGGATAAACCAGATCATTGCAATGCACTGCAAGGCCTTACATGATCTGCCACTTCCTCCCATTACTCTTTGATCTAATATCTTACCACTCCCTCTCATCTTCCTCCACTTTTACGTTGGCCTCTTTGTAATTCCTTATGCCAACCAGTCAGGCTCCCACCTTTGGGCCTTTGCACTAGCCTTTCCTGCACTGTGGAACACCCTTACCCATAAATACTGCTTTGTGATGACCTCACCTCCTTTAGGTCTGTACTCAAATCTTCATCTTTATATTTGGGACTGTCCTGATAATTCTATTTATTTATTTATTTATTTATTTATTTATTTATTTAGGGGGAGGTAATTAAGTTAATCTATTTATTTACTTTTAGAGGAGGTACTGGGAATTGAACCGAGGACCTCGTGCATGCTAAGCATGCGCTCTACCTTTTAGCACCCTGTAAGAAAGGGAAACACACACAGAGAGAAAGGGAGTTATATCCTCCCTCCTCCCCCGATAATCCTATTTAAATCGCAGCCTACCTCCCCACTCCCTCATTCCCAAACCCTCTTGCTCTGCTCTATTTTTTTCACAGCACTCATCATCATCTTCTGTACTATAGTTTACTTTTTTAAAAAAAATTATGTTTATCATGTGTTTCTCCTGAGTAGAATGGAGGCACAGTTTTTGTCCTTTGTTGATTGTCCACTGAAAATGTCAAGCATTAGAAAATAGCATCTAGAAACCTAGCAAACATGCAAAAAAACCATCGAATGAATTATTTTTCCTACTTTTGTATCTCCCATAGTTCATTCGAAAAATATTTGGAGTGCGATAAAAGTCATGTCACAGCTAGAATGTCTCTTCACACATTCTCCTGGGAAGACATTAAAGAATGTACAAGCTGTGGAAATAGGCTGGATTTCTTCATTTCAGATGTAAAATGAAGATATGAGGTATATGAGCTACCAGTTGGTCAGATATTCTTTGTTACAAGTTCAAGAAAAATGATTAAGACCTGAAAGTTTGATATCTATATTATTTTAATTAGTTGAGCAGATTTTAATTGCCTGGTAGTTTTTAATGACTCAGTGTTATGCACTGCTTTTATGTACAGTGATTTCAATGGGAAGACAAAGTAGAGTTGTCTCTAGCATCAGAAACAAAACTTAAATTGAATACAATGTCACAGCATTCCAGAGTTCTACCTTTGAACGTGTGCACTAAAGAATGGGGGCTGGTTGGGGCTGTTGCTAAAAGAAGAATTTACAAAATATACTTTAGGTCATTTGGTGAGCTAGAATCTCCACCCCCCTCCCTGGCCTCCAACCATTGAATCCCTGTGAAGAGCCTACGTTACCTGTAACTGAGCTACTTTCAATAAAAAATTGCTAGATTAAACAATGGTCAGCAAAGCCAAGATGCTGCCTTCATTGAAGTAGCATTAAAGCTGCACTCTGAACTTCAGACTTCAAAAGAGCCCTTTTTCTCATAGTTCGTAATAACAAAGGTTTCTAGGCACAACCTTTTAGCACCCTGTATAGTTCTCAGTACTTCATAGCTCCTCAAATTTAATTGAAATCGCACTCTCTAATCATCCAATTTCTACACAAAGCGCATCTCAACTGAGGGCCTCCTGTGGACCTGCGGGCATTTAGCATGCTCTTTGGTGACCGTACTTCCTCTCTGAGTGATTACAGGTAATGAGTTCAGCTGTCTCAAGGAGGACTCTGCTTTTAAGCCTCCAATTGTACTGATAGTTTGCCCCCAACCTCACCCCCACCTCATAACATAATGCTTCCTAAACTGAAATGGAAAATGAGTACTTCCCTACCGAGCTTAAGATGTGAGCCACAATTTAGTTCCTGAGGGTCAGAGTCAGATGCAAACATCTCAAGTTTCTTTAAAGGACTGGAAATAATATGAATAACTTTTCGTCCATTTTTGGTCCACTGGTTCTCAACTTTTCTTATTAAGAGTTGCCTGAAGGGTGTATTAAGTACAGATCCCTGGGCTCCACCTGCAGAGACTGTGATTACCTCACTGTAGAGAGGAGCTCAGGAATCTACAAGTGTAACAAGCACCCCAGGGGATTCACATGCAGGTGCTTTGAGCAACAGGAGAGCTTATCACTTGGCATCACTAGTGTGGAGTTTGAGAAGGTCTGTGACCATTCCCATGTGTAATACTATGAATGTAGCTGTTGGTGAAACTTTTCCCCTCTATACTTTTATTCTGCCTAGGGATTGCCTAAAGTTCAGTGAGAACACATGAAAATGAAGAATATTGACAGGTCAGTAGAATTCTGATAGAACAGACTATCATAGTCCCCGCTTATCCATGGTTTCACTTCCCATGGTTTCAGCTACCTGTAGCCAACTGTGGTCCAAAAAGATTAAATGGAAAATTCCAGAAGTAAACAATTCAGAAGTTTCAAATTGTGCACTGTTCTGAGTAGCCTGATGAAATCTCACACCATCCCACTCTGTCCCCCCAGGAACCCCAACTGTTGGCAGTGTCTGCTCCTGG